GAGAGGGAAGCGAAAAGAGGCAGCACCGGCTCGTACAGCAAAATCTGGAGCTTTGAGGTCAAGGGGCAGCCAGTGCTTTCTGGGCTGGAAAAGCCTGTGTGCAGGTGTCGGCTCAGACACAGGGAAGGGGCCGGGTCTTGGTAAAGGCTGAGGGGCTCTTCCTGTGGGAATCGGGGCCCTTTAGGCACCGCCAGCACGACGGGCAGCAAGCCCCGTCACCTTTGAAATCTGAGGCCAATAAAGGGCCATTTGTCGGGAACGATGTTTTCCCCACATGTCGACTGGGGTTTAAAAGCTCCGAATTTCACACAAACTCGACGCAGCGAGAAGGATTCTGCCTCGAGCAGGTTTTCCCTGTTAAAACACAGACTCTTGGAGCAACTCAGCACTGCTGACTGGAGCTGGTTTCTGCATGATGCGGGTCCGCAGGGACCCTCCAACACCCTCTGGTCTGCGAGCCCAATCCGGCAAGCCCTTGGTGCCTTCCTCGCCCTCCATCCTCCCAACATCGGCATCTCAGGGTCCGTTTCCAAAGGCAGAGCCCGTGGTGGAGGTTACAGACCAAGCTTTGTGCTAGCAGTGAAGGAACGCCGCAGCACGAGATTTCCCCCATGGGTGGACGCACGCAGGTGTTCCCTGGTGAATGGGGGAGTGGGCACCCGCTTCACGTCGCATCAGCACCAGCTTTGGCAGCGAGCGGCACGACACGCTCGGGCAAGGGCCCGTCTCCAGCGCAGCCCCAGCCTGAGCTCCAGCTCGCCTGCAGGACAGAGCCCGCCCGTCCCCCTGCAAGGGCTTTGTGGTGGTGGTTTTTTTTTTTTTCCCCCCCTCCCTGTTTTTCTTGCTTAAATGCATGAACTGGGGTGGGACTTCAGGCAGACTAAAGCTAAACAGAGCGGTGACCAGACTGCGAATTCGCAGGCTGAAACGGCTCCCAGCCACCACATTCACTGCGGCAACAAAACCCTGAAGGTTTGTTGCACAAAATGCCTCCCTGGCTTCCTCCAGCAAAGCCAGCCCACGTGCAGCAGGGGCTCGGGGGGCCTCATCCAGCCCCGGGTCCTGTGCCTGGACACGCCAGCCCGCGGGGGAGCGCAGGCGCAAGCACTAACCCTGCTTTCCAGCTCCACGTTGCAGGGAGGCTCAAAGGGGCTCCGTGCCCCGGGGACAGCCCCAGCACGAACCGCTGCCCCAGGCCAGCACCTATTTCACAAGAACTAACCCCAAAGGGACGTGGGTTACAAGCACAGATACCTCGGCGCCCGTCCGCAGTCAGAGCCGCTGCCCCTGCCCGGCATCGCCTTCCACATCCCTCTCTAACCATCTCACACCGCCAGTGCCTCTAGGTGCCTTTGGCGGAATCACTCCCCTTTCAGCCACCCTCAACTACTCCAGCCGCTGACCTCTCCGAGTTTTCAAAGCAGCTAGGGAATTACAGATTAAAGCACTTTATTTTAATAAGGTGCTGATTAACCTGTTTATTTTGCACGGGGTCCAGCGATAACACGGGGTGGGCTCCTGCGCAGGCAAGTCAGACAAGAAAGACCCTTTGATCCGTTGCCTTTGAGGCCGGCGACTCCTTTTGCTCCACGCTTCTCTCGCCGCCTCGGTGCCAATTTCTCTCCCCAGGTGTGGAAGTTCAAAAACAAACCAAGAAGCCGGAGGTCACGGCAAAGAGAGGGCAGCGGAAAGAGGCAGCACCGGCTCGTACAGCAAAATCTGGAGCTTTGAGGTCAAGGGGCAGCCAGTGCTTTCTGGGCTGGAAAAGCCTGTGTGCAGGTGTCGGCTCAGACACAGGGAAGGGGCCGGGTCTTGGTAAAGGCTGAGGGGCTCTTCCTGTGGGAATCGGGGCCCTTTAGGCACCGCCAGCACGACGGGCAGCAAGCCCCGTCACCTTTGAAATCTGAGGCCAATAAAGGGCCATTTGTCGGGAACGATGTTTTCCCCACATGTCGACTGGGGTTTAAAAGCTCCGAATTTCACACAAACTCGACGCAGCGAGAAGGATTCTGCCTCGAGCAGGTTTTCCCTGTTAAAACACAGACTCTTGGAGCAACTCAGCACTGCTGACTGGAGCTGGTTTCTGCATGATGCGGGTCCGCAGGGACCCTCCAACACCCTCTGGTCTGCGAGCCCAATCCGGCAAGCCCTTGGTGCCTTCCTCGCCCTCCATCCTCCCAACATCGGCATCTCAGGGTCCGTTTCCAAAGGCAGAGCCCGTGGTGGAGGTTACAGACCAAGCTTTGTGCTAGCAGTGAAGGAACGCCGCAGCACGAGATTTCCCCCATGGGTGGACGCACGCAGGTGTTCCCTGGTGAATGGGGGAGTGGGCACCCGCTTCACGTCGCATCAGCACCAGCTTTGGCAGCGAGCGGCACGACACGCTCGGGCAAGGGCCCGTCTCCAGCGCAGCCCCAGCCTGAGCTCCAGCTCGCCTGCAGGACAGAGCCCGCCCGTCCCCCTGCAAGCACGCAAACGCTCCGGCGAGGAATGCAGCCGCGGCCGCCACACAGCCAGACAGCTCCCATATTCCTGCAGGAACCCTCCAGCCCGCTCCAATTAGCTTTCCTGGAGATCCCATTACTTCTAGCCACAAAGACATTGTTCAGTTTATGCCCCTGTAACAGCCGCGGGAGCATGGCTAACGTATTCCTACAGGCTGCTCGGCTTTCTTATAAAACAGCCCAGGCAGCGCACACACCTGGAGCAGCCCCAGCTGCCTGCCCGCATTGCAACTGGTTTGGTTTCCCTTCTGGAGTGAAATCCAATCACCCCGAATATTACATTTCACTCGGGCACTCGCGACATAACGTCAAACAGACGAGAGCCAGCAAGGGCAGGAAGCGACGGGTCCGGGCTCTGGCCGGAGAGGTGCCACCACCGGCTGCTCCGCAAGGGGAGCACTGCAGTTCCTTCTCTCCGATTAGCGCCCCAGCACTGCAGTCTCACAGCGCTTCCCCATTTCGCCTGTGTAGGAAGCTGTAGCTGGGAAAACCCTTCCTCGTCCTGCTAAAATCCAAGCCCTCGATGTTTGGGGTGGCCAGACCCGTAGGGCCGGCAGCTCTCGCGGCAGAGGGAGCAGGGACGCCCGGAGGATGGAGGAACTGGGAGGGGATACCTGCAGGGAAAACACTCCTGCCACTTACCGAGGAGGGGAGTCCAGGAGGCACCTTCCGAACCTTTTTGGGCTGTCCATCTGCTTTAAAGAAAAGAAGAGAGGATCTAACTTTTGAAGGGGGTTAGTGGGAGGGAAAACAACAACCTATAGCTAAAAGTATCCGAGGATGTAAGATGCAGGTACAAATAGGGCTCAGATCCCACATGCCCCGTAGCCAAAGAAGTGTCAATAGTGAAAATGTCCGAGGATGAACCTCTCCTGCCCATCTCATCTGCACCCTTTGAGGGCGGGTTTCACCCACAGAGTTCACAGGGCAGTCTCTCTCCTGAAACACCCTGACGAGAGGTGCTCACCACACAGAACGGCTGCGCTTGCTCTTTGGAAGAGGCTGAGCCCATAAATAACCCCTCGTTGTTTGGGTGGGTTTTTTTTGAAACAATTTAACTTGAAGTGGGTTTGCAGAGAGAGGATGCAGAAAGAGAACAAATGCAGGGATGGGGCTGTATTTGCATTTGCTCCTTATACAGCAATATACTTGGGAAAGCTTCACCGCTGCAGGAAGGCAGGGACAACGCTTGCCCCAGGCCGGTCCCTCCCCAGCCCATCTCTCCAGGTCCAGCTCTGAGGGGGGAGGACACGGTGTCCTGGGGGAAGGGAGACAATTCAGGGAGGTGGTGGGGGAAACATCCCAAGAAGTGGCTCAAGGGGAAGCACTGCTTAAAAATCTGGGGTTTTTTTTTTAGTTCATAATTAAGGAAAGCCCCAGCTGGGGGGGTGCAGGATGCTAACACAGCAAGTCTGCCAAGCCAGGGACTCTGCCGGGTTGTAGCTCAGGAGGAGAAATTCATCACACAGAGTGACCCGATGCAAAAGAATCATTTTCCAGGCTGACAACATAAACCAGTAATGTTTTAAAGTGGCAATATCAAAGTGGATGCCTTTTTCTGAAAAGTACTGGAAAAAATACACGTAACACTGGGTCGCTTCTGGTTTCGTTTGTTGGGGAAAGCCCAAAATAGCAGCAAGAATGTGACTTTGGAGGGTGCGGGGGGGAACTATGACAAGAAACACAAGTTCTGGAGAACTGGGGCTTGTCTTCACTCGGAAGTTAAATTCACACCCAACCTTAGCCTTCGTTAAAAGCAAAATGGCTTATTTCCAGGTAGATCCAGGCGTGGGCAACTCCTGCTCTGGAACATCGAAGCAGGCAGGCGGGCAGGGAGAGGTCCCGGAGCAAACATCGCCTGCGTCCCCGGGCACAGCTCCCGTGCCCCGGCAGAGCACCCGGACCTCACACCACTTCTTAGCAACTTGTTCCTGGCAGTCCTGTTTGCTTGCAGCAGGACAAGGGCTCCAAGGAGGCCCATCGGCCATAAAAACGTCCTCGAAGGCAGCCCAAGGTTTTCCAGGAACAACTACTGATGTGCAGTGTGGCTGAAGGCATTTTTAGAAGAACCTCAAGCCATTTGCTGCTTTCACTTAATCTGACATTTTCCAGAAAGAAGGAAATTCTGCATGACTGAGCCCAAACCCCCTTTTCAAAAAATTTTATATATATATATATTTCCCCCTTCCCCTAAAAAAAGCAAATGCCAAATTCATGCCTGTGTCACCCCGAGGGTGACATGAAGCGACTTACCTATGTTGCTCTCAGCACCTCTCCTGCGAGGATTGTTGGGGTAAGAAAAATACTGAGACCCCCCTTTCACCCCGGTGGGGGAAAGCGTGCTCGGACTCGCGATTCCCATTTCACTGGGCAGGAAACCAGTCTGCAAACAAGGAGACAGAAAAGCCCTTCCATGTAATTACGCTGGAAAACCACCGCACTCGCTGGGAGAGAACAGAGCTGCCTTGAGCTGCCTTCGCACAAATTCAGCCGGGGGCGGGGGGGCGCTGCTGGGAATAAGGCAAGCCAACAGGCCAGAAGGAAAACACAAATACGTAAACATGGGGGTAGCTATAGGGGAATATACGTGCAATAAGAAAAGGGTCCTTCAAGCTGTGTTTTCTTGCTGGATCCCAGCAAGGAAGCTCTCTACAAAACAAGGATGCAAACGAGCACGTGCCATCGTGGGGAACATCGTGGGGAGCATCGTGGTCCCACGCTCACCTTGCTGCCCACGAGGGCAGGATGAGACCCTGCCGATGATTTTATCGGCCCAGCCTGCTGAAGGTAAAGGGGAGGTGACAGTCAGGCCGAGAGGTTCGTTAGGCAGTGCTCCCCACCTGCCTTGCCAGCCTGCCCGCAAACCAAAGGGGTCGCAAGCATCTGCTGGAGGCAGCAAGCTCTGCCCACAGGGAGGCAAACAGACTTACTCAGGACAAAACTCTTCCCTCACCGCCTCCGAGGTTTTACGGCAAGGGATTACAGTTTCTGATGCGATCAGTGCTTTGGTGTCTGCGGGGGACACACCTGATGGGCACTGTGTGTCCACCCATCCTCAAAAGGCACATCCGACCGAACGGCCCCATGCTGCCCCTCACCCCTGTGACGCTGTCGGGGACCCGGCCAGGGCAGAGTACAGATACAGCGCTCGCCCACTGGCAAACCCGGGAGCCCCCAGGCTCTCGATCGTGCCTAAACCGACCGCCAGAGACAGGAGAGGTTATACAGCCAGCAGCCCATCTGACTGTGCCTCTCCCAGTCCCCCCCAGCCGTTAAACCCAGCCTGGGGTGCCGGTACTGACAGCTTCTCTCCCATCCCCAGCGCCGCGCAGCCGGACCCATCATGGACAATGCAACGGAGCCTGCAACGCCTCCGCTGGGGGTGGTTTTCTCTTGCATTTTATCAGGGAAAAGTCAAGTCCCCCTTTCTAAAAAGAGGAAACTCCTCCCTCGTGTTTATCCCAGCTGACCTTGGGCACGCTGGGAAGCAGCGTGAAGCCGGCAGCAGCCGGAGCTCAGGGTGCTCACTGGCTCCCAGGATGGAGCAAGTGTGCCTTTGCTCCAGGAGCGCAGCCCGCCGGCATTGCTCCTTTCACCTTGGGAGAAAGTTAAATGTATTTACATGGAATTTAAGAGGGCTGGCAAAGGGCCTTTAAGTAACAAAAGCTTAGCTTTGACCCATCTTCCGAGGGCAACATGTTGAAATAAAGGAGGATTTCAGGCTTTTGAGAAACTGGAAAGAAAAACCCACTGCTTTAAAAGTCCGTCTCCTCCAGAAAGGGGTCGGGG